AGGTAGAAATGTGTTTCTAGAGGTTTCCTGTGGAACTGCTTCCTGGCTCTGGGCCTGGGAGGTTCCAGGGTTGACCTGCCTACTTGGGATCTCCTGGTGTCTCCTCGTGTATGACACACACACTTTGTGTGCATCCTTGTATCCTAAGAAGGGACTCTGTGTCACCAGGATTCCTGAACCAGACCTTGATTGAGCCTGTGGCCCCTCCTGTGCCTGCGCTATCCCCGGTCGAGCCTCCCAGGCCTGGGGTAAGGCTGGAGACCCCCACTGAGCCCCTCCCCTCATCACCCCTGCCCCGCATGCTTCTAGAGAGCATATCTTCTGTTTTTGAGGAATTTCTGTTTGGGGCCTTGCCCTTTTCCTTTGCAGCTGTTTTGAATGTAGTTTTCCTTTTCTATTTATTTGCACATTAAAATTAAAAATTAAATATTGATGTAAAGCCCTTAGGTTCTCTTGGTCCCTTCTGTGAAAATTCCACCGACTTATCACCACCAGGTTGGTGGGCTGGACCTGCCATAGCACAGGAGTACTGACTGGGCCCACCTGACTCATGGACAGTCCCAAACTCCGCCTGAGGGTCCCTTGAGCTCTCCCTGCTCAGCAGGTTCCCTCCACTGGGGGCTCCTCATCCTGCACCCCTCCCCTATCTTGGCACAACATGGAAGTGGTTTCTAGAATATTTTTACCCAACTCAGTTTTCAAATTAAGTACAAATTAGAAGTGTCTCCTGCCCTACTATGCATACAACACCTGATTTAAAGAACGAGATGTTTGCTCTAATCTCGCTGTGCCTGGCCTGTGTATCCAGTTTGTACTGACAGACCTCCACTAGGCAGCCCCAGAAAACCACCCTCTGTGCTCCCTGGTACCCCCAGCTGCACCCCACCTCCTGCTTTTCACCATGTATCTCCTCATCTCTAGGCCCCAAACCCGTCCCCTCTACCCCCATACCTGCCCCTTGGTAACAGGCCCACACAGCTCTGCTTCTGGCCTGCAACCCTGGGGAGTTCCACAGCAGGACTGGCTGGCCCTCTGAGTAGCTGTCCGACCACACCCCTACCAGAGGGTCAGGGCCCCTAAGGGGTTTCTTCTGCCTCAGACTCATGTCATGAGTGCCTAGGACCCCCTCTGGGCCTCCAGATTGGCCTTCCTCAGGAAGGGCACTGGTCACAGGAGTCCTCTACCCTCAAGTGGGTGGGATTTATGGCCTTGATAAGGTGACAATGTGAGAGTGGAGAGTTCATTACCCACTGGCCCTGTGGACATCGTCACCTTGCTGGGGAAGAACTATAGAACTATATAGAACTATAGAATCTATAGAACACACCAGAGAATAGTAGGTGGCCTCCAGGAGCCAAGAGCAGGACCTCAGAGCTACCACAGCCAGGACCTAAATTCTGCCAACAACCAGGTGACCTCAGAAAAGGACCCTGCGCTTCAGGTGAGGGTGCACAGCCCAGACAACACCTCATGGCAGCCTCACGTGACCCAGAGCAGAGGACTCAGCCTGCCAGGCCCAGACTGATGGAAATGTGAAGTCACGAAGGTGTGTTGCTCTAAGCCACATCACACAGTGATGGAAGGACGGCATCATTATTTTTGAGACAGAATCTCACTATGTCGCCCTCGGAAGAGTGCTCTGGCATCAGAGCTCACAGCAACCTCCAACTCTTGGACTTAAGTGATTCTCTTGCCTCAGCCTCCCAAGTAGCTGGGACTATAAGGCGCCTGCCACAACGTCCAGTTTTTTTTTTTTTTTTTTTTTTTGGTTGTAGTTGTCTTCGGCAGGCCTGGGCTGGATTCAACCCACCAGCTCCGGTGTATATGGCTGGCGACCTAGTCGCTGAGCTACAGGCGCTGAGCTAGACAGCAGCATCATTAAACCAGCCATGTGACCTGCATCACCCCTTCTACCTCAAATATGACAAGGTGGTTGAAGAGTGTGATGCTTGCAGAGGCAGCAGGGACGTCTCAGGTGAGAGACTCTATGAACATTTATTCTGTTGCTAGTGAGGTGTTCGTCTCACTGCCTATTTGCAACATACAACCAGCACTTTATAGCTGATGGCACTCACTGAAAATGAGGCGGATTACTCTAAAAAGCAAACTGGATACCATCCACAGATGATGCTTTTTGGTATTCACCCAAAGGAGGTGAAAGCTGGTGTGCACACAAAACCTGCACAAGGAGAGTTACAGCAACTTTATCCATCACTGCCCAATTGAGAGCAACCAAGATGTCCTTCCCAGATAGATGGATAAATAAACCATGTTCTCTCCAGACAATGAACTATTATTTGCCATTAAAAAGAAAGGCACAATTGACCCATGAGAAGATGCAGAGGAACCAGGAATATTTTACTGACTGAAAGAAACCCATCTGAAAAGGCTGCATGCAGACTGGTTCCAAGTCTATGACGTTCTGGAAAAGGCAAAACAATGAGACAGTAAAAAGATCAGAGGTGGCCAGAGGCTTGGAGGGAGGAAGGGATGAGTAGGTGGAACACAAAGGATGTTTAGGGCACTGATACTATAATGGTGGACACGTGTATTATGCATTTGTCCAAATCTATAGAAAGTACAGCACGAAAAGTGACCGCTAATGTCAATTAGGGGCTCTGGGTGATAAAGACATGGTGCAGGTTCATCATTGGAAACAAATCCACCACTGGGGGCTATGCATGTGTGGGGACAGGGGTATATGGGAACACTGTACCATCTGCTCAATTGTGCTATGAGCTTAAAATACTCTAAAAAGTAAGGCCGGTCATGGTGGCTCACTCCTATAATCCTAGCACTCTAGGACGTCAAGGCCAGTGGGTCTCTTGGGCTCAGGATCCCTTGAGCTCAAGAGTTCAAGACCAGCCTGAGCAAGAGTGAGACCCCATCTCAAGGAAAAGATCGCTTGAGCCCAAGAGATTGAGGTTGCTGTGAGCTATGACGCCATGGCACTCTACCCAAGGCAACAGAGTGAGACTTTGTCTCAAAATAAAAGAAAAATACTCTAAAAAATAAACTTTTATAATTCTAGCACTTGGAAGGCTAAGGTGAGTGGATTGCCTGAGCTTAGAGCAAGACCTCATGTCTAAAAAATAGCCAGACGTTGTGGCAGGCGCCTATAGTCCCAGCTACTCGGGAGGCTGAGGCAAGAGAATCACTTGAGCCCAAGAGTTTGCGGTTGCTGTGAGCATTCTACTGAGGGTGACAAAATAAATAAAATTTTTAAAAGTTTACTCCAGGGTGGCACCTGTGGCTCAGTGGGTAGGGCGCTGGCCCCATATACTGAGGGTGGTGTGTTCAAACCCAGGCTCAACCAAACTGCAACAAAAGGATAGCCAGGCGTTGTGGTGGGCGTCTGTAATCCCAGCTCCCCAGAGGCTGAAACAAGAGAATCGCCTAAGCCCAGGAGTGGAAGGTTGCTGTGAGCTGTGTGACACCACAGCACTCTACCAAGGGCGATAAAGTGAGACTCTGTCTCTAACAAAAAAAAAAAAAAATGTTTACTCCAAGTCAGCCTCAGGATGCTGTGGTGGGGCCAGGCTAAGTGGGCAGCTATAGGGATAGGTGAGCAGGCCGAGGTCTTGGGCAGGAGCCTGCCCCTTCTGGGCTTCCCTTTTCTTCCAGGGCCTTTGGGATCCGGGCAGATGAGGGCAGATGAGGATAGCCCAATTTCACACTCTGCCCAGTCCTGAGGTTTTCCAGCTCCTTTAGAACAGAGTTTCGGCACTTGGTACAGTTGAACAAATAGACTCTGATTTGGGGCCCAGACAGGAAAAATAGGAAATCAAAGCTGGGTTGGCTGGACTCCAAACCCTGGTTCTCCCACAGCCATCTGTGTGACCTTGGGTATAACCAAGGGCGCCTGGTGAGACAGGACCAAGTTACCCTCTTCTCTGGCCTGTCCATAGGGTGAGGCCCAGCCTAGGAATGAGGGGTGGTGGCACCACATTTGTAGGTGCCTGTGTGATGTCTAACTTGGCCACTGACCCTGATCTTTCAATGGACACCCTGAGGAAAGAGGAGGGCCAGGTAGGGACCACACCCTAGGGCTTCCAGAGGATCCTGAGAGGTAGAAGGGTGAAGAAACTCAGGATAAGCCACCAACCCATTTCTGTTTGCCAGTTTCCCCCCATTAAAAATTATTTGAACTGTAATAAAACACACATAGCAAAACTTACATCACAACCATATTTCCTGTAGTTTAGTGGTGATGTGTATATTCACAGTGTTGTCCAACCATTACCGCCATTCATCTCCAGAAGTTTCTCATTTTCCCAAACTGACACTCTGTCCCCATAAACACTAACTCCCCAGGCCCCAACACTCACTGTTCTCCTCTCTGTGTCTATGAATGTGCCAACTCTAAGGACCTCACACAGTGGAATCGCACAATATTTATCTTTCTGTGACTCACTCATTTCACAGACTGTCCACAAGGTTCATCCAGCTTGTAGCATGTGTCAGAATCTCTTTCCTTTTTAAGGCTAATAGTAGTCTGCCTTTTTTTGAAAAATGAGTTTTTATGGAAAGAAACATGCAGAAAGAAAATTCCAGTAGTACAAAGGAGCACATGGAGACAGCAGACACCCTGAGTTCCTCTCCCCAAAAGCAGTTGTACCCAGCGTTCTCTGGGAGGTGTCTGGGCATAGCCTGTGTCCAGTGGGAATAGTGTTATTGTCACCCACGGCCCTGGTATTTTGCTCACCATGTCTGGGATTCCCCACCTACCCTGATTTGGCACGGTTGTTTCCAGAGTGGCCATGGCTGGGCAATCCCCCACTCTGGTTGTCTTCCTGTGTGGGTGTGTCTGGCAGAAATTCCCAGACTTGAGGCTAAAGGCGTTTGCGTCACAACTTTGATGCATAATCACCAAACGGCCCTGCCCTGGCGTCCCTGAGTTGCCAGTGTTCCCAGCTTCCTCAGCCTGGTTTCCCAATCTGCTCACCCAGAAGGCAGCAGGGAGGTCCAGGCCCGGTTTTCCTTTGTGCTACGTGTGTCCCTGGCCACCAGATTCATAAGACATAGGCAGGATGCTGAATTTGTCTTTGGTAGTGGTGGAAACTGCTCAGAAACTGGGGCGAGGCCTCTGGCTGAGTGCCCCGCCTGGGTCAGAATGCTCTGGGCCTTGGTTTCCCCTCTCTGTGCTGGGGGCTGACTCTCATTAGGACTCTGCTCAGTCACTTCCTGGCTGGTGCCTGAGTCCTGAGTGTGTGTGACTCTAAGATTAGGGCTTGAAGAGGCAGGAAATGGCCCCATTGGGCCCCTCCCCCAATTCCTAGTTTATTTTATCTTCCCCGCAACCCGCTGCCCTCCTCCTGTTCCTCCTGCTTCCAGACTCCCACCCCTGCCCCAGTATGGGGCTCCTCCAGGGCATGACATGTTCTGTGTGCTAGGGAGCAAAAGGGCACCAGCCCCTCTGAGCCTCTGTTTCTTCATTTTCACAGTGCTTGTCTCCACAGAGCAGCCAGGAGCAGGAAGGTGCAGGGGCTGAAAGAGAGAGGGTCGCCTCCCTTGGTGGCCACCTATGGCCACTCCTGGGCTCCGGGCTGAAAGTGGGCTAGGACAGGAGCAGAGAGGCTTTAAGACCAGGATGGGTTCCTCCCAGGGACCACCAGCATGGTCCCCTTGGACCCCTGGGGTAGTACACTGTTAGCATCAGGGACTGGGTGAACACCGAGAGCTGTCCTTAGCAGGCCCCAGATTCGCAAAGTTCCTCTATCTCTGCACCCCACTTTGCTCCTGCCCAGGGGGTGGTGCAAGGGCAGTTTTTGGGCTGAGACAGTAGTGAGATGAAGTAACCCTGCCTAGGACGTGAGGTACATTAGGGGGTACTGTTCACCTGCTCTGACCTCTGACCCACATAGGTAGGGCTCTTATTATCCTGCCCATCAGAGACAGGAAGAGTAGGTGGCTTCAGGAAGGGCTAAGAGTCCTTCCTGCCTCTGCTGGCCATGTTCTGCCTCTGGCCAAGGGGGTACCTGGAGGGCGAGGCTGTCCTGAGAACAGGGGCTGCATACGTGACTGCCAGAGGAAGTGGCCACTCAGGCCACAGATGCTTCCTGGCCTGGACAAGGACTAGGGGTGGGGCCTAAAGCCTGGGACCCCCCTTTGTCTTGCTGGCCCAGCACTTAGGCCCTCAGGAAAGCGCTTCAGGGGGACAAAGTGACCTGGAGTGGCCTGGCCTCTTCAGCCTACACTCTGGGCATCCCACAGGCAGCTGGGAGTTCAAGGGGACAGCGGCTGTGCTTCCCTGGTTTATCTCACTATAGACACAGTCTGCTCCTCCGCCCAGGATCCGGAATCCGGGGATGAGGGTCTGGTGAGGCAGGAAGCCCAAGGCCAAAGCCCAGAGCAGCCGGAGGACAGCCATGTGGGCTTACCTGTTGCTGTGGCCCTTGGTGTTGGCAGTCACCTTGGTGGGCAGCACCCAGACCCCCAGCATCTATGACGATGGCGGAAGCACCGGAGGAGGCGATGGTGAGTGAGTGACCCTGGCTTTGGGGAGCAGAGAGCAGGGACATCAGAGCCAGGGAGGGGTGAATGAACCAGGGAACTTAGGGACTTTCATCCTAGCCCACCCTGCACCCCAGCTCTGACCCTTCAGTGTCATGTCCAGCCCCATCCCATGGGAGCACAGCTGGACTCTCCACACCTCCATCCCCCTTCTCTCCCATCTCTGGGGCAGGCCTGACTGAGGCACCCTCTCTCCCCCAGACAGCTCACTGGGGCCCTGGGCCAGGCCCACGGAAGCGACGCTCCTGTTCCCACAACAGCCCCGCAGCTTCCCAGGTCAGGTCTTCACCAACAACAGTGACATCCTGGAGATTCCAGACAGCTCGCGGGCGCTGCTGCTGGGCTGGGTGCCCACACGACTGGTGCCCACACTCTACGGGCTGGTCCTGGTGGTGGGGCTGCCCGCGAATGGCCTGGCACTGTGGGTGCTGGCCACACAGATGCCGAGGCTGCCCTCCACTGTGCTGCTTATGAACCTGGCAGCTGCTGACCTCCTGCTGGCCCTGGCATTGCCTCCACGGGTTGCCTACCACCTGTGGGGCCAGCACTGGCCCTTTGGTGAGACAGCCTGCCGCCTGGACATGGTCGCACTCTACGGCCACATGTACTGCTCCGTGCTGCTGCTGGCGGCCATCAGCCTAGACCGCTACCTGGCCCTGGTGCACCCGCTGCGGGCCCGCACCCTGCGCGGTGGGCGCCTGTCCGTTGGGCTCTGTGCAGCTGCCTGGCTCATGGCAGCTGTCCTGGCACTGCCCCTGGTCCTGCAGAGGCAGACCTTCCGGCTGTCACGCTCTGACCATGTGATCTGCCATGACGCACTGCCCCTGGCTGCCCAGGCCTCCCACTGGCGGCCAGCCTTCACCTGCCTGGCGCTGTTGGGCTGCTTTCTGCCTCTGCTGGCCATGCTGCTGTGTTATGGGGCCACCCTCCACGCACTGAGCACAGCTGGCCAGCGCTATGGCTATGCGCTCAGGTTGACAGCGCTGGTACTGGCCTCGGCCTTGGCCTTCTTTGTGCCCAGCAACCTGCTGCTGCTGCTACACTACTCAAACCCCAGCCCGGATGCCTGGGGTGACCTCTACGGTGCCTACATGCCCAGCCTGGCGCTCAGCACCCTCAACAGCTGTGTGGACCCAATCATCTACTACTATGTGTCAGCCGAGTTCAGAGATAAGGTGTGGGCGGGGCTCTGCCGGCGGAAGCCAGTGGGTAGTGTGGCCTCCAAGCCCTCCAGGGAGGGGGGCACCCGCTCCTCATCACTCCTTTAACTGCCCTTCTGGCTGGGAGCAGGGACTCACACCTATAATCCCAGAGCTCTGGGAGGCCAAGGCAGGAGAATCCCTTAAGGTAAGACACTTGAGACCAGCCTGAGTAACAGTGACAACCTGTCTCTACTAAAAGTGGAAAAAAAATAGCTGGGCGTTGTGGCAGACTCCTGTAGACCCAGCTACTCAGGAGGCTGAGGCAGGAGGATCGCTTAAACCTAAGAGTTTGAAGTTGCAGTGAGCTATGATGAGGCCACTGCATTCTAGTCTGGGCAACAGAGTGAGACCCTGTCTCAAAAAAAAAAAAAAAAAAGCCCTCTGAAGGAGTGTGAAGGGGAGAGAGGTTGAACTGGGTTGAATATGGTCCCCCCCTCGGCCCCCACATTAACATCCTTCCTGGAATCAGAGGATGGGATCTTATTTGGAAATAGAGTGATTACAACTATAATTAGTTAAAATTAAGTCACAATGGAGTATGGTGGGCCCTAAATCCCATCTGAGTGGTGCCCCCTAAAACGAGAGGACATAGAAACACAGGGAGGCAGGGACACAGGGGAAGATGGCCATGTGACAATGGAGGCAAAGATCAGAGTAATGTAGACACAAGCCAGAGGTCAGCAAGGATCACTGGCAGCTACCTGAACCCAGAAAGAGGCCTGGACCAGATTCTCCCTCAGAGCTTCCAGAAAATATGAGCCCTGCCAACACCTTGACTTCTGGCCTTGAGCTGAGATAATAAATTTCTATTGTTTGAAGTTACCCGGTATGTGGGGCTTTGTTACCCTAGGAATCCAAAACAAGAGAAATCCATGTTCTGGGCTGGCCAGCACTCCAGCTCAGCTCTCTGGGCTTGACTGATGTTGTGCAGGTGATGAGGTGGACATGTCCATGGACCCTGTGCAGGGTCCTGCCCTGCCCAGGATGAAGCTCAGTGACACTACCAACCCCCCCCACCACCACCACCACACCCAATTGTCTGATGCTGGGGCCCTATGAACCCAGAGCCTGGTTGGCCTGTTAGGCCGTTCTTGTCCCCAGAAACCTGGCTTTGGTACGTCTCTCAAGCAATCAGAGTGCCCCCTCCACACATACTCTGTTCCCCCAAACCCATCAGTAGCACATCTCATCCTCCTGCAGGCCCCCTGCCTACTGGCCACCATCACTTTCTCTCCCTTAACCTGTGGCCTGATTTTTCTTTTCACTTTATGTCAATGTCACTGTGGACAAGGTGGGACAAGAGGGTGGACAGTGAATGCTGTAGGGGCTGCAGGCTGCTCTGAGCTGTGTTGGCACCTTCACGCTGCTCTGAGCTGTGCTGTAGGGGTTGCAGGCTACTCTGAGTTGTGCTGGGGCACCAGAAGCCATGCCTGTGCCTGCTGAGGACACAGAAGGAGAAGATGTAGCCTCCAGCACACCCTGTCCCTGTTGCCCCCAAATTAGCAAGCATCATGGGGCAGAGTCAGAAGCCACCAGGACCTAAATTGTGGGGACCATTGCTGGGCTCCCTGATGGACCTATGTCTCTGGTCAGCCCAGCTATTGGGTGCCCAGGACACACACACACACATATTCATGCCCAATTGAGGATTGAGGAGATGGGAATAAGATAAGTGATGTGGCCCCATGTCAATATCCTGGCACAATCATTTACTAGAGTTTTCCAAGATGTTACCACAGGGGGAAGCTGGGAATGAAGGGCTCCAAGGACCAATCTGTATCATTTTATACAAGTGCACAGAAACTTACGATCATCTCAGGGTATAGGTGTTTGACAGCCATAAACTCTGCTCTAAAAGTCCAGGCCACAGATGAAGACACGGTTCTGGAATTCCACAGCTGCTGGGTGGGACTTGTGACTCCAGTCTTGGCCTGTGACCCCCACTGCTGGGCCTGTGACACTCAACTGCTGTGTGTCTGAGGGGCCAGGGATTTGGCCCCATCTGGAACAGGCTTGAGACCTGGGTACTGCTCTTTGGGTGCCACTGTCTATAGGAAGCCTCAGTCTGTCCATGACTATGGGAATGAACTTTTTATTTTACCAACAGCTTTACAGTGAGTGGGCACAGGGTCTCTGCCAGGGGAAGGAACTGTGAGGACTGTCCTTTGCTGGCTGGCAGGAGTCAGAGGTGTGAGATGTGGCTAGCACTGTAAGACTCAGACCCCACAGGCCAAGATAGCATCAGGTCTTGTCATCTCATGTGGCAAGGGGTCTCTGTGTTGGCTAAAATAAATACCACCTCGGAGAAGACTAGCACACGCAAGAATAGGCACCCAGGTTCTCAGAAAGGAATAAAAAACAAGTGTGATCCTGGTGGCAGCTGGGAGCATCCTCAGAAGGCAGGCAGATCCTGGAGCTCGGGCATCGTCTGGCTGCTGGGAGGGGGTCAGCCCTCCAGGCACTGGGAGGTCAGAGACTCAGGCTAGGGAAGCCCAGCAGTCGACCAGCCTGGGAAGCATGAGGCTGAAAGTGCATCTGCTGGGAGCTGGGCACTTTCCTCATATGGCCATGCATTCAGGGGCCCCTGGGGTAAGAGCAGAGGGTGTGGGGTCCTGGCCCAGGGAAGGGAAGGCCTCGGTGGCTCCGGTGCCCCAAAGGGGGGCTAGGGCTATGTGTTTTCAGAGAAAGGCAGCCTGTGTAGTTTGAAGTACTCAGGGAAAGACAGATGTTGTCCCCCTAATTTGGTTAGACGTGTCCTCTCAGAAAGAGGCTTTGGCTACAAGTCCCTCTAGGACTGTTTCTTCTCCTGGGAGCAGAATCTCAGGCTGTGGGAGCTGCTGTGGCCCTGGAGTGGAGAGTGGAGGTCCAGCCTCAGGGCTGGGTGGTGTGGTACCTGGAGCTCCATCTGCAGTTGGGGAGGTCAGGGGGACCTCCAAGGGACCTCCAGCCACTCCAGCTGTCCCCATACCATGTTCTGGGTCCAAGGAGGACCCTCCTAGGTAGGGACAGGTCTCTGCCATTCCGTTTGTCAGGTTCATTTAGAGGCAGGGCCCACCTGGCGTGGGGGCTGGCTAGCCACCCAACAGAGTCATGATAGGCTGATAGACTCTTACATCTTGGCTCCTGCCAAGATGCAGCCCACATGGTGTCATCTTGCTTGGAGCAGGGTGATCGTTAGGAAGAGAAGCCGCTCTGACTGACCAGGAGAGAAAGAAAAGAGCTTCCATGAGGCTGCCAGGCCTCCAGGTTGCGGCCCTATGCCCCTTACCTGCATCTGACTCCAAGAGGCTCAGGACTGGTACCACCTTCCCATTTAGACTGCAGACCCCCACCTGGGAAGGGGGACTTGTGGCCCAGGCTTGGCAGCTCAGGACTCTGCTCCTGCCTCTTCCAAATGGCCCCCAGTGATGGGTTCTGAGGTGTTCACTGTGGTAAGGGTGGAGCGGTTTGTGCTGGACCACTGACCAAATAGAACACTACTCGGCATCAAAAGGAATGAACTGACTGGGGGCAGTGGCTCATGTCTGTAATCTCAGCACTGTGCAGATCAAGAGGGAGGACTGCTTGAGGCCACATGTTCAAGATTAGCCTGGGCAACATAGTGAGACCCCATCTCTAGAAAAACTAGCCAGAGATAGTGGCACATACCTGTAGTCCCAGCTATTTGGAAGGCTGAGGCAGGAGGATTACTCAAGCCCAAGAGTTTGAGGTTGCTGTGAACTATGCTCATGCCCCTCCCCCCCACAAAATGAACTATGGATATTGAACAGTAGCATGAATATGAGGAAATTATGCTGAGTGAGAAGAACAATCTCAAAAGGTAACATGTACAGGGTGTGGTGGCTCATGCCTGTAATCCTAGCACTCTGGGAAGCTGAGGGATGGACTGTTCAAGCTCATGAGTTCAAGACCAGCCTGAGCAAGCACAAGACACTGGCTCTCTGTCTCTACTAAAAATGAAAAACTGAGGCAAGAGGATCACTTGAGAAGAGTTCAAGGTTGCTGTGAGTTATGATGCTACAGCACTTAACCCATTCTAAAAAAATAAAAAAAGTTACATGCCGATTCCATTTACCTAGCATTCTTATTTTTTTGTTTTGCTTTTTTTTTTTTTTTTTTTTATGACAGAGTCTCACTCTGTCACCCTGGGTAGAGTGTCGTGGCCTCAATCTAGCTCACAGCAACCTCAAACTCCTGGGCTCAAGTGATCCTCCTGCCTCAGCCTCCTGAGCAGCTGGGACTACAGGCACTCACCACAACGCTTGGCTAATTTTTCTATTTTTAGTAGAGACAGAGTTTTACTCTTGCTCAGGTTGGTCTTCAACTCCCAAGTTTAAGGGATTCTCCCCACCTTGGCCTCCCAGAGTGCTAGAAGTATAGCTGTGAGCCACTGTTCCCAGCCACATTTCATAGTTCTGGATTAGGGATGCTTAACCAGTAAGTATATGATGCAAGGATTCCAAAATCTGAAACACTTCTGGGTCCCAAGCCTTTTGGATAAATTAAACTCAGCCTGTACAACCCCACACACACAAATAAGTAGGTGTAAAAATGGCAAAATATATAAAAATCAGTGGATTATAACAATGTCAATTTCCTGGCGTGACATTGTACTGTGATTTTGCAAAATGTTACCATTTGGCAGAAACTATGGAAAAGAGACCTGACTTTTTAATATTATTTCTTACAAATTATATGTATGTGAATCTATGATCATCTCCCAGTAAAAAGATTAATAAAAATGCCCCCTCAAAATAAAAAAAACCTCTAAACTCTCCAAAGGCACTAGAGATAATTAAAAGATATTAGAGGTGGGTGGGCAACACTTGGGAGAAGTGAAAATTGTATGTACAAATACTATAGCATAAAGGGTGGGTCAGGATGACGGATGTATATAGCTTCAAAGTTTCTACATTTTAAGTGAAGTAAATACAATATCAATACTAATAGGCTCTGAAAAAGTTAAAGATTTATATTGTGATCCTCAGAGCTACCAAATAAAATGCCAAAAGAGAATAGGTAAATTAAAATGAAATTCTAAAAAATTCATGCTATTAATTCAAAAGAGGGTGTGCTAAAAAATAAAATAAAATAAAATAAAAAAGAGGCTGGGTACAGTAGCTAAAGCCTGTAATGCTAACACTCCTGGAGGTCAAAGCAGGTAGATTGCTTGAGCTTAGGAATTCTAGACCAGCCTGAGCAAGAGTGAGACCCTGTCTCTACTAAAAATAGAAAAACTAACTTGGTGTGGTGGTAGCACTACTCAGGAGGCTGAAGCAGGAGGATCTCTTGAGCCCAAGAGTTTCAGGTTTCTGTGAGCTAGGATGATATCATGGCATTCTAACCTGGGGCAACAGAATGAGACTCTACCTCAAACAAAACAAAACAGGGTATGGATGGAGGAACAGGGGGAATAAACAAATCAAGTATTAAAGCGGTAGCCCTAAATAAACCCACCCTATCAATAATGACATAAAATGCCCATGGATGAAACCCCAGTGCCTTGGAGCGGGGTGATGACACACTACTGAACATCAGGGACTTTGGTCACTGCTGGTGGGAAAGTATCCTTGCTAAATTTGCTCAGGGGAGATGAAAAGTTGCCTTTGCCACCAAGACAGGGAGGGAGAACACATACCTGTATGATGAAATCAATCTTTTACTTAAACCTCTTCAGATGAATTTTCTCTCATATCCAAAAGATTTGCCTCCTCCAGGAAGTCTGCCCTGTAACCCTCCTCCCAGCCTCACTAATCAGGGCTCCCCTGACCACTGGGCAGCGCCTTCTTTACCATTCCCTTAGGGTCCTGGGATGGGCCAGTCCTGGGGTCAAGTACTCAGGAGGGTTCCTGCCTCCCACCTCCAGTGTGTGTTGTGGGAGGAGGTTGTGTGGTAGAGGGAATGAACAGATCTCGCCACAAACTCTCAGGCTGACCCTCTATTTGAGTGACTCCACTGTCTGCCTAGGGCCAGCACAGGTGGGGGTGATTATGGACAGGACAGGCTCTCACCTGTCCTCCAACTCCCCTTCCAGCTCTGAGTCTGAGTCCACTGCCTCAAGGCTGGCTCCATTCAGCTTCACATCTGCCTGCAGGTGTCCCAAGTTCAGAGGGCCTGGATCATCGTGGTAGGTGTAAGGCACAGAGGCTGGAGGCAGCGGCTGCTCTGGAAAGAAGGGGACTCAGTCTGGGAGGGTGTTTTGAGGGAGAGGACCCAGATTGCAGACATCACAGAGGCACCGAGGAGGGAAGCACCAAGAGGAGATATATGAACTAGAGCAACAGAGATGGGAAGTGACAGGTGTCACAGGATGGGGCGGGAACACAGATCAGTGGGGGAGGGGCAGGAGACCAGGGACTGGAAGAATGAGGGTATCCTCCACTGTGAAGAACAAAAAAATCGAAGGAGAGAGATGGTGGGGGAATAAACAGGTGGACTGGAACCAGAAAAGTCGGGAAAAGAGCCCCACGTAGGGAGGGATGGAGGACCTGAGGGACAAGGGAGGTGAGAAGAGGTTGATGCACACAGGAAGCGGGTGCAAGGAGAGGTCCCCGAGGCCAGATAGGGTCCTCACCAAGAGCGCAGCTGCCAGGCGGCGCGGGCTCCAGGTGCACCGCCCCGCGGCAGGCGGCCTCCCGCAGGCGGCAGGCGCTGGCATAGACCGTCCCGTCGGAGCCGCACACCGGGTCCCCGTGGGTACCGCAGTCGCGTGCGCAGCCGCATCGCGGGATCGCCGCCCCATCCTCAGGGGCCACGGCGGGGCCGGGCTCGCCGGGGACCCAGCCTAGGGAATGACGCAAAGTCGGTGGGGCATGGGCTCCCTCACCACCACGTGCGTACCTGCACCTTGCACTTACTTCTACAGGGCCTGGGATTGGGGGAAAGTCCCTGGGGTCGGAACCACGGCTCCCCACGGTGTGGGGGATGGGGCGCGACAATATGGGAGGTCCTGAGCCCTGATTCCGTGGAATTCCACGCAGATATTTGCCTAGTACTTACGAAAAAAGAATTTTTTTTAAGTTTTAAAACAATCCAAATCCTTTCCAACAAATTTGGAAAACTTTTAAAAGGAGTCCTGAGGGACCGCCTCAGCCCAGCCAACCCCTTTGCTGCGGCCACTCTCTGTCCCCCGACGCCCTTTAGATTGTGGGAGAGAAAGGAGGCAAGGACTCCCCTCTGGGCGGATCCCGAAGCGCGCTCGACCCAGCCTCTGCACTGACCAACACTCCCTCCCTCTCGGCCCCGCCCCTCCTCGTTGGTCCCTGCCCCTTCCAGCTAGGTACCGCCCCCTTCTCGTGGACAGACTTCTCCCCGCTCAGTCCCCGGCCCTTTGCACTGTCCGCTCCAGGGTTCAGCTGAGGCCCCAGTGCGCAGATTTCGCACAGTGCAAGATTAGGTCATGTCCTCCATATTTTATAATGGGGGCCCCTCCTCCGTCAAGACCCCGAGACCCAACTGGACGCCCTCCCCGGCGCCCGCGGGTACAGGTGCGGTGGTGGCAGGTCAGCGGAGCGACCCCGCGAACTCACCCGGACCCCGGGCCGCGGCGCGCTCCACCTCGTTGCAGGTAGGTCCGGCGCACAGCTCCCGGGCGAGCGGGCTTCGCGAGCTGACGTTATAGAAGCGTGTAGCCTCGAAGGCTGCAGGAGGAGGGGTGATGGCGGGTGGATGACTGGGGCGAGGGGAGGGGCAACAGGGCGAGGGGCCAGGTCGGGAGCGAGGGCGGGCGCGGGCCTACCAGGCTCATAGTAGTCGTACACAGAGACAGGGAGTGCTGACGTCCTGCCCACCACATACTCACGGAGTGCCTGGAACCTCACGCATGTCAGGCACCGGCTGGGGATCTGCGGGGACAGTGGAAGGGCTCGGCTGGGGCCAACAGGCCCAGGGGGCTGAGCTTGGACCCGTATGCTCTGCGACACCCCAAGGTATAAGCCCAGAACTGGCTGATTTCAGGGTACTTAGGAGACATAACACACAGAAAGCTAGTCGCATTTTGTGTGTTAGATTTAGCACATTTACAACCATCACCTGTATCTGAGCTCCAGAACAATTTGTTTCCTCTGAAAAGGAGACCTGTCCCCATTGGCCTCACTCCCCATTCCTGCTCCCCACCAGCCCCTGGCAGCCCCTAATCTGCTTTCTATCTCTATGGATTTGCCAGTTTTGGACATTTCCTATCAATGGAATCACTGTGTGGCCTCTTGTGTTTCACTCAGCATCATGGTTTCGAGGTTCATCTGGTTGTAACGTGTCAGTGCTCCATTCCTTGTTACGGCAGAATAACATTCCACCTCATCCCTCTCTGCATTTTTTCCACTGAGAGCTATACATCTAAGGCACAGAGACATAAGCTGGGCCTGGAATTTGTTCTCCCAATATCTTTTTCAAGGTATGAGATACTTGTGGGGAGCCGCACAAGGCTGTGACCACTGTACCTCACCACTGTGGGCACCGGGGAAGCCGCCCCCACTGACCCTGGCCAGCTGTACCTCATCAAAGTAGAAGAGAACTCTGCGTCCAGCCACCTCGTACCTCTTCATCCCGGTGTGCTTGTCAAGGAGCAGCTAGAGAGAAAGCCAGAGGCCAAGGTCAGCTCAGACTCTCTGCTCATCTCCTCCTGGATCTCCTTGGGGCCCAGACTGGTCAGTGGGAGCCACTCCAGGAGGAAGCCAAGGCCCCCAAGAAGTTCAGGAGCTTGCCTGCGGTCATCTAGCAAGTCCCCATGGGCCAAGGTCTGGGTGCACCTGGCTGGAGCCACAGGATGATGAGTGCTCCCCAGGCTCTCTTGGCTACTCAGAACCCTTGAGAGGGTGCTCAAGGGCTGATTATCCCTGCCCAGAGTGCCTGCTTCCCTCTCTGCAGCCTCCCCTAATCCAGCCCCAGGAATAAGTCTGGCTTCACTGTGGCCCACAAGAAACCCTGCTGGGCCCTGCCAAGGGCTCCTGCCTTGCTGCACCATTTAACATCCCTTCCCAGCCTGAGACTTCTTTCAGTTTTTTTTTTTTAATTTTATTTATTTATTTATTGCAGTTTTTGGCCAGGGCTAGGTTTGAACCCACCACCTCCGGTATATGGGGCCAGCGCCCTATTCACTGAGCCACAGGTGCTGCCCCAGTCTTTTCAGTTCTTGACACAAAAGGTTATTCCTGCCCAAGAGCTTCTGAATTGGCCCTTTCTCTCTTGTGATGTTCCATTCAGCCTCCCCATCACCTCCCCCCTCAACCCCAGCCTGAGCTTGGCTATAGCTTCCCCAAGATAAGCTTCCAAGTCTGTGCCCCTCTTTCTTCTCCTACAAAATGGGGATGTGGCACTCATTTCTCTTGAGGTTGTGCGAGTGACAGCTGGTGTGAGGCATAATGGTCTAGGGAGACTCTCTGATGCCCACACTGGCTCAAAGCACATGCTTCTTTACTGAAGCCCCCCATGGCACTTACAATAGCAAAAGCTTCCCACAGGACTTCCACCTGTTGAAAGAACCCCCACCCTGCTCCACTTGCTCCTAGGTAGGCTCATCTTTGTCCAGGAAGGAAAAATAAACACCAAAACAAAATCAAAACCATAATATTTTACAAAGGGGTGAGCTGCCAGCTGGACTGACCCTGGGTGCTCAGGCCCTGCTCACTGTCCAGAGACCCCACCAGGTCCCTGCCTCCGGCACACCTTACCTGCTCCAGACTCTCAGTGTCCACCCGAAAGCCTGATAGCAGGGGCACCTCAAGGACAGCCATGTTGGAGGACCCTACATGTAGCCACCTTTCAATGACAGGAGAGATACAGAGGCCTGAGAATTTGAGCCCTGAGGTGGAATTCACGGCCCCTTTCTGCCCCTGGAGCCCACCCAGCTGATGTCCTGGGGAAGCCTGCCCTGGGCTTGGCCGGTGGTCCATTGGCACAAACATTCTTGGCTTGGTCAGTGTATTCAGCCCATTTTACAAGCAGAGCACTGAGGCCTAGGAGAAAAGGGCCTTGCCAAGGATTCTAGGTCCGACTCAGGGCCATTGACAGGGCAATGACTCCAGAGGGCAGCTTCAGGCCATGTGCTTGACCATTGGCCCCCTGACAGAAGACCCTAGGCAAGTCACTTCCTAGCTCCAGGCCTTGGTTTCTCCTCTGTAGCACAGAGGGAGTAGCTAACTGGGATTTCTCTGGGGCCTGTTAGATGCCAGACCCCTCCTGCCAAGTGCTGGGGACATTCAGACTGGAGCCAGCAGGCTGTGGGAGGGGCAGGTACCTGGGCCACTCTGATGGGCTTCAGGTATCATGGCAACCACTGACCCACCCACCACGGGGCTGCCAGGCCCTCACCACGATGATGAGCATCTTTATCATCACCTTTCTGTGGGTGAGGGCCTCCTGTGGTGGGTCCCAGGCTCACCCCTGGAAACTAGAGCTGGGGAATCAAGCAGGGATCAGCACTCTGGCCACATAGCTGTCCCCACCCAGCCTCTCTGCCCTGACCATCATTGGGTTTGCTGGGTCCATTCACAAGCCATTTGTTTTTCTTTCATTCACTTCAAAAACTATTGCTGAGCTCCTGCCTGGTGAGAGATACAGCTGGAAGTTCCTCCTGGTCCCTGGAGGCCATCCTCTGCCTATATCACTCTCCTGGGAAGCCCAGGTGAGGGGTGCCAGCCAGTGGGACATGTGGCCTACCTGGTGCACACCTCCAGCGTCACCTTATATTCTTGGTGATGCTGGTCCGCTGCTGGGTCGTCATCATCAGCTGGACGCCGATTGCTTCGGGGGCCCTTGGCAGAGGAGGAGGCAGGCACAGGTGGAGAGTGCCCCTGAGTCATGGGCTCCTGGAGATTAACAAGCACCTGGAAAGCTGGCTTGGCCACTGGGTCAGGTACATTGTAGGTGACATCAATCTGGAAGGTGTTAGGGGGACTGAGGCTTAGGGAGCCCCAGCCATGCCTGATGGGTGTCAGGTAGTGGAGGAGAGAGATGAGGACAACCAGAATTATGACGATAATGACATCAATGACAGTTCCAGGGATGACCATTATTCCTTTTAGCCTTGAAACTGCAGAAGCGAGTATAGGTACAATCATCCGGTCTTGCAGGTCTCAGGTGCAGAGTGCACTCAAACCTACATCTGAATCCAGGCTTCTCCCTCCCAGCACAATGCTGTCTGGGCTCCCATTGTGGACATGGGGAAGCTGAGGCTAATGACTTGCCACTGAGTGCTGGCCAGAACCCACAAGACCTACCTGCCTTAGCCCAGTTTGGGGCTAAATCTTAGAACATGGTGGGTGGTGGGTGGAGACCAAAAGGCCAGAAGAGGACAAGCTAGACTTCCCTGTGCAGGCCACTGAGGGGGAATAACCTTGAACCATTGCTTAGGGTCTGCTTAGGCTCAGAGACCACTGGACTGAAGATCAAATGGATTTTCCTGGGGGGATCCCAAGCCCCGACACCTGAGGGGACCCAAGCCCATTTGCAGTATTGGAGGGTCAAACGTCTGCCTTATGATCTGGCCTGATGCTCAGCTCAGAGCCTTCTAGGGGTCCCTGTGGTTCCAGATGCTGCTGTGTGTGGCAGGGGAGCCAAGGTAGGACAAACCCTAGACCGCCCCATGTTCTGTGAAGCCTTACCTGCATCAGGCAGCAGCCGTCCCCCCTGGCGCTCACAAACAGCCCTGTGGGGAGGCTGGGAATCTGGAGAGAAAAGTCACCGTGAGGCCCTGCCAACCCTGCTGCTGACTCACACCCATCCCAGCCCACACCCAGTTGCAAGAACACACACCGCTGCCATCTGCAGAACTTTCTGGTTGGTCCTGTGCAGCTCAAAAGTCTCCTGATAGTCCAGGTTGGTGGAGGCCAGGGAGACAGTGAGGTTGATGCCTCCAGCATAGGACAAGATGGCATATTCAGCCAAGGCCTGAAGAGCCACACAGGTGTCCTAGAGACAGAGTGGGGAGGCTGCTGTCAGCCTGCGACAAGTAGGCCATAGATCCCCTGGCCCCTGTCCAGGGAAGGCTGGCCAGAAATGGGGCACTACTAATCAGGCTGGGATGGACACCACATCCATGGAGCTAGGAGTCCTGGGACAGCCAAGTTAGTGTGTCCACGAAGATAGTGGCTAGGCTCCTGCACAAGGTCCAGGTACTCCTGTCCCTTGTCTTCCATCTCTTGGGGCCCATGACCCCAAGAGCTATAGGCAGGTAGGCACCAAACTGCCCGGGGTGATCCCACCCAGCCCGGAGCCCCTCCCTCTAGCTCCGCCCTGCTCACCTGAGTGGAGGAGAAGCCACCAAGTGCATTCCGCTGCTGGGACAGCCACTTCACTATAGGCAGGGCAGCAGCCACATCACCCAGGAGAGTGTAGGTCAGAAGGGCATAGGCTGTCATTTCCACCTCAGCTGACAGCACTGCAACAAAAAGAGGCCAGCGAGAGCCCTTTCGATGCTGGGACCTGGGGCTAAATGCCATGGAGAAGCGGCCAAGGAAGGCACCAGTGAGCCGGGTGGACAGTACCTGACTTAGAGACCCCATCACTGAAGCTCAGAAATGCATCCTTGCCCATGTCCTGGGAACTTGCTGGGCTCCAGTGGGTAACTCCCTCTGCAACAAGATTGTTCATTCTTGCCATGACCCCACCCAGGACTCAGCCTAGAATCCTATGGTGGTGGGTGTCCATTCATATCTCTTTCTGAGACCAGAAAAAGATATTGGGGGACTAGACCCCAGTGGAAGCTTCAATAGAGAGTTCTGGGGGAAGACAGCTGGGTAAGACAGGGCCTAAGGGCTCCTTCTCAGATCTGTAAACATATGGCAGCCCCAGCCCTTTCTGTGTCCCTGGCAGACATCATTAAATAATGGTCTCCTTCCTGTGCCCCTGGGAGACATCCTGGCTGGGTCCCGAGGTAGCCCCATATATTCCCACTCAGTGCTCAGATTGCAGGGGCTCCTCACTTGCAGGGGATCCAAGGATTCTGAGCTTCCATGAGGTGTAAAGGTCCTCAATCCCAGAGAGAAACCAGGCCTCCCTCTAATCCTACACCTACCTTTGATCATCCTGAACATTTGTCCTAAATAGACACTGTCACTTATTATCTTCTTTTTTTGAGATAGGATCTTGTTCTGTCACCCAGGTTAGAGTACAGAGGTATGATCATAGCTCACTGCAACCTCAGACTCCTGAGCTCAAGTGATCCTCCTGCCTCAGTCTCCTGAGTAGCTAGGACTACAGGCACACACCACTATGCCTGGATAATTTTTTTTTAAGTGATAGGATCTTGCTATGTTGCCCAGACTGGTTTCAAATTTGTGGGCTCTTGCTTGAGCCTCCCAAAGATAGGCATAGCCATTATGCCTGGACGTTAGCTTTTTCTTACTGGGGTCCAAAGGGGGCTGGTCCACACTGTAGCTTCTGGGGGGGGGGTGACACCTACCGTGCGTGATGGCCAAGCTGCGGAGCTTGCGCAATGCCTCGGGGGCTGCTGGACTGTGAAGCAGGGTCAGTACATAGGCAGTCAGAGCACAGCTGTAGGGGTCTGTGGCCAGAAGTGTGCTGGACTCCAGAAAGTGCCTTGCCTTGGCAATAGTGCCCCTGTCCTCCTGCAGCGCGGGGTAGGAAGAGGAATCCTGGGAGGCTGCTCTGTTCTCATCCAACCACTACATACAGGCTTCCCAGGTGTCCCTGGGGAGACTTGGATGGCTCATTGTTCCTCATTTTGAATCCTTCTATGTCTCTCACTGCCTGCAGACTCAGCTTTCAAACCCCATTTCCATTCTCTTAGCATGGCACCCACTTTTCCAAATAAGGTCTGGCAGAAAGCCTGAGTATATAGCAGATGAACACAGAGACATCCTGGGGGAGGAAAGGCAGGGCCCTGGCCACCCTGTCCCACCATACCCCATGGCCAAGTCTTTGTTAAGACATCTGGCTTCTAAGACCACACCCTCCAGGCCTCATTGCCTCCTTGGAGAGGCCCAGGGACCACGTTCATACACCCAGGAATGTGAGCTGTTGCAAGATAGGGCCTGAGTCCATCTCCTAGCAATGGGCTTAATTCAGAGAAGTGGCCCAGTAATATTGATTACATGGAAGAAGTCAGTGACCAGAAGCATGAATGAATTTAAGAAATGAGCAAAGATGTTCTGGTAGCTCCTGATTTACTAAATGTTGTGATCACAGAAAGAATGCCTTCTGAAGCTTCCCATCATTAGACCAAGACAAAGCATGGGAACTCTCCCTAAGGTGTGGCATTGTGATGCACCACCTGGGGCATGTGCCAGGGACGAACAGAGCAGATTAACCAGACCTCAGACCTGGACCACACCAGCCTGTCATCTGGGGTAGGAGAGGGGGCTGGATCTCCTCACAGAGACCCTTGGGACCAGGAAGGGTCTCAAGGATGCTGTGGAAACCACAGTAAGCTGGGAGGGACCCAGATGCTTGGTGCAGATATAGTAGGTTGAATGATGCCTTTCCCTAGTCCATGACAAGATATGTTCCCTGGAACTATAAATGTGATCTTATTTAGAAAAAGCTCTAACCCCTAATTTGATGGTGTTAGGAGTTGGAGCCATTGGAAGACAGGTTTACATGAATGAGCTCATGAGAGTAGGCCTCCTTTTTTTTTTTCTTTTTCTTTCTTTTTTTGAGACAGAATCTCAACTATGTCACCCTCAGTAGAGTACCATTGGCATCACAGCTTGCAGCAACCTCCAACTCCTAGGCTTAAGCAATTCTCTTGTCTCAGCCTCCCAAGTAGCTGGGACCACTGGCACCCACCACAACGCCCAGCTATTTTTTGTTGCAGTTGTCATTGTTGTTTATCTGGCCTGGGTCGTTTTTGAACCCATTAGCCTCAGTGTATGTGGCTGGTGCTGTTACCACTGTGCTACGGGCACCAAGCCAGAGAGTAGGCCTCCTTAATGAGATTAATGTCCTTATAAGAAGAGGACGAGAGAGATCTCTCTCCCCCCACATACACCAAGGAAAGACCTCATGAGCACACAGTGAGAAGGGGTCGTGTACAAGCCAGTAAGAGAGAACCCTCACCAAGAACCAAATCTGTCTGCATCTTGACCTTGGACTTCTCAGCCTCTAGAACTGTGAAAAATAAATGTCTATTGTTGAAGCCACTTAGACTACGGTATTTTGTTACAGTAACTTGAGCAGATAGAAGGGTTAGGACTTCAGCATATGAATTTGGGTGTGTGAGGGGACCAATTCAGCTCATAACACAAGGCAAGAGGCCCTCTGGGGCATCATGCATGAGACATAGAGGGTCTTAAGTCACAGGAGACCCTACACTCAGCAGTTAAATCTGGACTGAGAGACCAAAAATTCTGAGAGGTGTCACACCTCATGATTCATCATCAGAGGTTTAGAACTAATGCAGGTATTGGAGATGGCCTACTGAGATCCATTGTGAGTGCCCTCCCTGTGGCAACCATGCCACCCCCACCCCAGGATAGCCTCACAGAAGAAACTATGGCCCTCAAGTGTCTTGAACCACCTAAGCCCCATCTGGGTCCAGTATCAACTGCTTCTGAACATTTTACCCTCTGCTGCTCAAAAAACATTCACAAGCCCAACATTTTGTATAGGGCTCCCTGAAGCCAGTCCTCAGGTTGCTGGCCAGAAACCTGAATAGCCCAAAATGATTCTCCCTTTCTTGTTCTTATTATTTTTAAAGATAGGGTCTCAATCTGCTGCCCAGGGTGAAGTTCCAAGACACAATCATAACTCACTATAATCTCTAAGTCCAGGACTCAAGCAATCCTCCTGCTTCAGCCTCCTGAAGCTGGGACTACAGGCACGCACCACCAAGCCTAGCTAATTTTTAAATGTTTTGTATACATGGGGTCTTGCTATGTTGCTCAGGCTAGCCTCGAAGTCCTATTTTCAAGAGATCCTCCCATCTCAGCCTCCCATAGTGCTGGGATGATTATAGGTGTGAGCACCATACCTGGCCCAAAATGATTCTCTTAATGAAGGCTTAGGGCTGTGGACAGTCTGGGAGACCTTTAGTCAGGGCACCCCGCCCCAACATGTGCCTGA